AAGGTGACTCTCTCCACAAGATCTGTCTACCTTTGCAGTGAGCTCAATGCTTTGTAAAACTTGGCCAGTCACCACTGCCCAGTGCCGTGGTATTCTTCCCTAAAGGGTATTTCAATTTGTGGCACAGGGCAGGTTTCTGGCCTCATCAGAAGAGCACTGCAGTAAGAGGGAGCTGCACTATAACATCTGCACTGGATTGTGCTATTTCCAAGCTGCCAGTTCGGAGACACCAGCAGGATGAAAGGCACCGAAACCTCTCCCTGGCACTCGCTGCTTGATTGTGATGATAAGGTTTCAGATTGTGAAGGAAGAGAGACAGTTTCTCAGGGGGAAACTGCAGCACCTAAGGTGCCTCCAACACCTCTGCTCTCTGCAAATTTGGGAGTTCCTACAGTAGGAAGAGGATGACCACATTCCCTCCAAGGTAAGCCATCACAGTGGTGAGCACGTGGGATTGGGAGGTGTAGTTTTGGCTGGGGTCCTTTAGCCAGCCCCTCTAGGAAACCTCCCACTGCAGCAGGCAAAGGCTGGAAACAACTCATTAGCCTCTTGCTTGTGTTTCCACTTCTGCTGGAGTGCAAATTCCTTTTGCCCTGACCCAGAATAAACACACCTGCGTTCTCTTCTTGCATTTTATTTTGCCCCAGTGAATAACAGCAAAACAGAAGAGAGAGCTTTGTGGTTCAGGAAGCTGACAGTTATTAAAAATAAATTTTACAAGAAGGCAAGACAGAGGGAGGGGAATTCTGACAAATCCCTGATATGTATGGAATGTTTCTTTTAAATGGGAATAAAGCAGAGTTCAGAGTTTCTTCAATTACATTTTGGGAGTTTTGTTATTTGAAAATAATTGTTTGTAGTTGCTTTATTTTTCCTGAGCCAGGGCAACATTGATTGATGTAACTGGAACAAACAGGATTGCATAAGCCTGCAGAGGTTTCCTGGTACACTGGCCAGGCTTTGTACTGATTTTTATCGTAACTGTGAAATTCTCACCTGACATCTCTATTGGCACATCGTGTCATTTGCAGTAATGCTAACATAAGGCATTCCCACAGAACGGTCTCCAGCACGTCACTGTGGAGGGATGGGATGCAGAACCACGAGTTTTGGCTGGACACGGACACAGCAACAATAAAAACAACACCCCTGATTTAGCAAAAGAAACCACAAAGGCCAGGTCAGCTTTGGGTCTAATACAAATTGTTCAACTTAGATGACATTTTTTCACATTACTTTTGTATTTAATTCTACAGTCTTGTCATCTGGAAGCAGCGTGGGCAGATGCAAGTGAATAAAAATAACATCTCCATGGGGCTTTTCCTTTTTTTTTTTTTTTTTTTTAATAAATATTGCCTGCCATTTGTACTTATAACTAATTCAAAAACTTATGGTATTATAGTCAATGCCTTTTGGATGACTCTAGGATTTCATATCAGAAGAACTGTTTGAAGGACAAAATGCAATAATCTACTGGAGACAAGGTTGCTACCTGAAATGTTTGTTCGCATATGAGAGAAAAACACAAGATAAACTGAAAACCTGAATGCTGGCAGTAAGAAGAGAAAAGACATCTGTGCTTAAGACGTCCTGTGACTGTGGTGGCAATAATTCATTACAAACAATTGAGAGCTGCAGAAAATCACCTAAGGACTGCTTGTGGTGACCTAAATCCCCTGACATTGGCCCTGGAATGTGCCCCTTGCAGGCAGTATAAAAGTCCTTTGGGACACCAACTTGCAGACAGATTTACAAAAGCCTAGAAAGCCAGTGCGCATCATGCATCTGACACACTCTTCTGCCTGAAATGATATTTAGTGCTGGTCACACAGTGCTGGAGGGGAGAGCCTGCGTGGCTGTGCAGTTCTGCCCCTGTGTAACATCATTTCACCCATGGCTGTTCTGGCCTGAAGGAGGCATCCAACCACCAGGACAGTGCTGTCCAGATGATTTGCAGCGTGTACTGGGTGGCAGATTTTTCTCAAGAATGGTTGGGCTTTTGGACAAGTGGACAAGTAGCTTTGGATTTGGGGTAAACTTTTCTAAAGCACAAAGACCAGACACAAAAAGAAGTTCTTAGTTTTTCCTTGGTCCTACTGATGTGTTTCACAAGGCTATATTAGAACAGCTAACCAAAAAACCAGCACTTTGGAGTCTTTGTTTCATTTCATATTTGTGAAACTCAAGCTCTTGGCACAAATCCTCAGAAGTATTCGGGCATGTTGGATCCTACAGATTCCTGTGATCAGGTAACTTGGCTGCAGCTGCCTTGGAGACTTGAGCTCAAGGGCTTCCTATCACTTCTGAGAAAGCTGATTTGCACTTTTAAGAATTTTGCCCATTATTTATGGAAACAAAGAACCCTTTCAAAAGAGAAGCTTCTAATTCCATAGCACAGGGCCAGCTGTGCCATCATTCCCTGGAGTGAGGGCTGCTCTTGCTGTGCTGGGAGCAGCACTGAGCTCCACTCATCAGGACACTGGTGCTGAGGGCTCCTTCCACATCCAACCTACAGCAACCCCAAATTGAGGACACACTTTGGCACTAGAGTAGCCCTATGGAAGGATATACCTGCCTGAGGTAGCAACTGATGTTTTTGTTCCTCATTCCTGCTTATTTAGAAAGCAGGCAAATAGTGATAAACTTTAAAACAATTCCAAGAAGTTTGTAATCACAAACAAGCTGTGGGGACTCTGATTTAAGTCCAATTTTTTGGTTTTTTTTCCACAGAACATATGTCTGTTTACACCAGGAAACTAATAAACACAGTGTCAACAACAGCCATCAGAATAATTCTTCAGGGTTTGAAGGGCAGTTTGTAACCTTGTTTAGTAACTGGCTTCATTCCCTCTCCCTCCTGTGTAAATCTGAGAGACGAAGGGCTCTGAAACAGCAAGTGGGAGCTGTGTCTGCATTTGGAGACTTAGGGATTTTCATTTCATTCTTTTCTATGAGCTTGGTGTAAGCCTGTCTCTGACCTTCAGTAAAGAACAAATAAGCGATAATAGCTTGTGTGGTGCCAAAACTATAAAAACAACTGACATTAGTGGGAGCTTCCAGTGCTCATAAGATACCTAGAAATGTGAGCCCCAATGTATAAGACCTAATGAATGATATTTTGTATTTTCTCTGATAGTTGAAAATCCTTAAGTTCATATATTACTCTTAAGAGGCTGTAGCTAAGTTAAAATTCTTGAGGAAAGTACATACAATGATAGGACTGGATAATGATTTTGTGATCTGGACTCCTGCTGTGTAAGGAACATCTCACATAAGATGTCTTATGATGTAGCTGTTTCTTTCTTCTTAGAATCACATTCATATTTTTCCTATTTTATAAGGGCCAAAGTCTCACAATGCATCTATAAAAAATACAGAACTGCTTTGTACAAAGTAGCAATAATGCAGTCTGATTTTCCCATTTATTTGAGTCCTATAACTGGATTTCCCTTGTCTAAGAAGGGTCTAGTAGCTCCTGCATCCCACAGTCCTGTTGTGCATCTGTCCGTTCACTCTGCCCCCCTCATGGAGACATTTTTCCATGAAAAATGTAGTAGGAACTTTGCATGCTTGAGATGGATCTTTCTCTGAAATCAGCTAAGATTTGGAAAAGAGCTTCATGTGAAAGAGCAGCAGGAGTGCCTGTAGCTTTGCCTAGGGAGGGGTGATGAGCCAGCTGGGAGCTTATGGGTCAGGATTAAAGGGCAGACCAAAGTGAGTAACTGTGGTAGATGTCTCCTACAGATCACCTGATTGGGAAGAAGCAGCAGACAACTGGGAGAAGCCTCATGTTTGCAGGTCTGGTTCTTGAACCGCCCTGCTAGCTTCTGGGAGAACACAGCAGGGCACAAGCAATCATGGCTGTTTCTAAAGTGCATTGAGGATAATTCTCTTCCAGACACAGGTATGGAGGAGCCAGCCAAAGGAAGTTCTCTGCTCTACCTGATGCTTACCAATGTGGAAGAACTGGTCAGCAGTATGAAAGTCAGGGGTAGCCCCGGTTGCAGTGATCATAAGATGAAAATGGGGCAAGGAAACTGGTGCCAAAGGACATGGAAAAGGTCAAAGTGCTCAGTGCCTTCTTTCCCTTGTTTTTTCAAGCAAGATTTGCCTACAGGAATACCAGATGCCTGAAACTAGTGGGAAGGTCTGGAGCAAGGAAGACTTACTCTTGATGGATAAGGATTAATTTAAGGAACATTTAGGCAGACTAGACACATACAAGTCCATGGAATCTGATGGGATGCACCCTTGAGTACTGAGGGACCTGGTCAATGTCACTGCGAGGCCACTCAGTTATCTTTGAAAGGTCGTGGTAACTTGAGGAGATTCCTCAGGCCTGGTAGAAGGTAAATATTACTCCTGTCTTCATTGTGGGCATGGAGAATCTGAGAAACTACAGGCTGATCAGCCTCACCATGATCCCTAGGAAATGGAGCAAACAATCCCAAGTAATTGCGTAAACTTATAAAAGTGAAATCATGTTTGACCAACGCAACAGCTTTTTACAGTGAGATGCCTGACTCAGTGGATGAAGGGAGAGCAGTGGGTGCTGTTTATTTTGCAAGGCTCTTGACATTGTCTCCTATAATACCTGCGAGACAAAATGTTGAAGTACAGACCAGTTAAGTGGACAGTGAGACGGATTGAAAACTGGCTGAACTGCTGTACTCAGAGGGTGGAGATCAGCAGCTCAAAATCCACCTGGAGGCCAGTTACCACTGAGGTCCCCCAGGGGTTGATACTGGGCCAGTACTGTTTAATCTCTTCATTAGTGACCTGGAGGATGGGGCCAAATGCACCCTCAGCATGTTTGCAGATGATAAAGAACTGGGAGCAGTGACACATGAGCCACAATGTGTCCTTGTGGCAAAGGTGGCCACCAACCTCCCGGTCTGCATCATGCATCATGCATCATGCGTTGCCAGCAGGTCAGGAGAGGTGATCCTGCCCCTCTGCTCAGCCCTGGTGAGACACATCTGGAGTGCTGTGCCCAGTGCTGGGCTCCCCAGCACATGAGAGACATGGACCTGCTGCACTGAGTCATGCAAAAGGTCACAAAGGTGATTCAGGGCCGTATAAGCAGAGGCTGAGAGTTGGGCTTATTCAGCCTGGAGAAGAGAAGGCTGAAGAGGACCTTATCAGTGTTTATAAATATCTGACTGGAGGGGAGAGGGGAGTAAGGAAGATGGGCCAGACCCTTCTCGGTGGTGGTGCCCAGTGACACCACCAGAGGCAATGGCCATAAACAGAAATGTAGGAAATTCTGTGTGAACAAAAGAAATAACTTTTTTACAGTTCAGTGGTCAAACACTGGAGCAAGTTGCCCAGAGAGGTTGTAGAATCTCCGTCCTTGGAACTATTAGAAACCTGACTGGATGCAGCCCTGAGGAAACTCCTTTATTTGCCCCTGCTTTGACCGAGGATTGGACCAGATGGTCCCAAAAATGCTCAACCGTTCTGTGATTCTGTGGAGTGGGCACACCTGTGCATTTATACATCTGTGAACACACAGGTAATTTGACTGCATAAACTCTTCAGAAAGTCTGGCTTACAAAGATAACAGAAATTCTGTGAGCTCTGTTTCAGGGGGAGTTAAAAAGTTTGGCGCTCATATGCTGAGCATTGTTCTAATCAGTCTGTGTTTAGGTTTGGATCTTCTGGGCCATACAGGCCACAGACCTTTCAGTATATAATATCTAGAAGTGTATTTAATGTATTTTGGTGCAGGTCCTTCAAAACTAGTCGAAAATGCACGTTAAGTGCAACACCTTCTATGTCAGATAAGCCAGTCAGACCAGGTTTTCCTTGCCTTACAGTGACCCTCACAAGTTGTGATGTTCTGTCTCTGTGGCAGAAAGGGCACCCATTCTGCCTAGGCTGTGTTTATTCAGTATAGGGAAACACACATCAATTTTGGACCACTCAGAACTGTCACAGGAATATTGGGAAGAACCTTCCTGCTTAATATCTATCAGGGTTGCGATTAAAAAAACCTCAAACAAATTCCACATTTTGTTTCTTCCTCTGATGACCAGGCATCAGCATCTTGCTCCCATTGCTTCTTCTCTCCTCTGATGGTGTTTAAGCCCTTTTGAACAGCAGCCCATGGAAGAGGATGGGTGGACAGATTGTCTATTAAAACAGGTAAGTTATTTATTGTGCAATAAACAATTCAGTACAAATCATAAAATCTAGCTAGTCTGTTACTTTGAATCTCTTTAAATCAAATCATCTTATATTTTGGGTTTTTTTTCAATCAGCTGCAAAGATGATACAGAACACAGAACAAGATCAAAGGCTATGTATTATTTCACTATGTAAGTCTATAATAGAGATATAAAGGAGAACAATTTCTCTTCAGTCTATCATGTCATTGTATGTCAAGGATAGTAAATGAAGTCTCCTTCCTGATGCTGAGTAAAAGATTTAACAGGAAATCCTTGAGCTGAGGACAAGGTAGAATTGTTCTGGGGAAGTGCTCTTGCTCTCCATCACCTGCCAGGGTCTGCTGTCAATCTCCAGGACAAGCTTGGATCTTGAACACAGTCTTGTTTTGGACCAGTTAGTGCAGCTGAGTCAGACAGGTTTGGATAGTCAGGGGAAATACGGATGTTATAATTGTTCTCTTGAGGAGTCACTACGACTCACTCGGTTCCTACCATCTGTAGTATGCTGGTTAGGGTCTGAGTCAAGGAAACATTTGACCCTGAGCTTTGTTCACTCAAATTCAGAGTGAATTTTAGAGCTCTGTGCACTTATGCATTTTCCTGGAGTATGGTGGTTTTCTGAGGTAATGTCTGTAGCCAACCCAGAGGAGTTAATAGAGAAAGGACCTGTTGACTCTTGGAGTCTTGGATTCAACTTTCTCTTTAGTGATGTTGACAATGCTGGAAAATCCCAGGGATCCTCTAACAGGCATCATGCAGAGTATGTAGCCCTGGAAGGGGACAGGGTGAGTTAAGCCACAGCTGTTGTTTTAACTTGGACTTTCCTGGAGCTGCAGAGACTGAGACCACTTGAACGTTTCAGAGGACCAACAGTGAAGAATCAATGACAGTTCAGACAGTTGTGGAAGAGGTAAAAGTCTTTTTTTCTCTGCTCTATAGCTTACAGTGAGCTAATATTACGGTGGTCTGGATGACCTTATGTGATGGTGGAGACTAAACCAATGAGACTGGAAGAGATGAGACCCCCAGAGCAGTCATTTCTTCATCCCCTTCTGTTTCCCTACACCTGGTACGTGCCAGAGCATAACAGACTTTGCTGGGGAAAGGAAAGATGCCCTGGGCTAGAGGAAAAGACCACCACCATGGCAGGGAGATTCACGCAGGTCGCATTGTCCCACCTCTGGATGTGAGCACGGTGGGGAGAGAGAGAGGCTTGGCTAGGCCAGGCAGTGCAGACCTGCAGTTTTGTTGCTGCATCTAGAGCTGTAGTATTACCAGTAGAGCTTCCCACCAGCTCCCGGTGTCACTTCTGCAGTACCAGGGGTGGCAGTACCAACCACCAGGCTCTCTGCTACCAGGATTCCCCATTTTTCAGAAAGCAGCTCTATAGATGGTCCACAGGAGTCCTGCCCTACCCAGGAACAAGTCTTTCAACCACCCCCCCAACACCACTGGGCCTTTCTACGCTGTATGAAGTGGTGTGATGAGTTCACCATCTCGCCTGTGTGCATTATCGCTGCTCCAACCAAGAGACCCGGTTAGCAGCCAGGACCAGCCGTGGTAACAGTGGATGTACAGTGACCTACTTTTAACACAGCTTATGTAGCCTTTCTTGCTGCTTTATGCTTGAATGGCAGAATTTGCAACAAAAGGTCAATTTATGGCAGCCTTTTATTGCAAGGTTCTTTTGCTGTAGTCCAAAGTTATAATGACAAAATGCTCCGCTGAGTACAATGAGGACTGCAAAAATCAGACCCACTTTTTATGTAAGGCTTTAAACTTTATCTGTTTTAAACAGATTTTAGTGCTAAGCTGTTTGTTTGCTTTCCTATGGAAAGAGCTTTATTACTTGCATGGTGAGCAATAGAGGAACATGTCTGAATATTAATAGAAAGGCTCAGAAATGGGGTGTTTCAGTGAAACCATAAAAAATATTTCTGAAGCTCAGCAAATTACCCCCATGCATGGAAGGAAAAGAGTCTAAACCACAGCAGCTCAGAAAAGGGAAAAATGCATGGCAAAAATGAAGTGGGAACCTGTCCCCTGCCAAGGGAAGGCACAAAATAAATCTGCTGTGACCCAAACATACAGGGTCATAAACAGGCCAAGATAAATGCAGGAGGAAGGACACTGTGACAATAGTTAGCCCAGAGGGCTGAGACACATGGCTGAGTTCCTACATGTCAACTGTGCTGCAATATCTGACTGATTCACACACTTTGCCTTCGGCAGCTGAGGGGTGAAACACATTATGTTAAGCCTCAGTGAAAGAGGGTTGGATGAATGTGCTCTCCTTGCTATTCTCAAAGGAGTGAGAGTGCATCCATGAACAGCTCAGCTGTCATGGACACCCACTACTGCTCTGGGCACCCATGGGCTCCCATTCTGAAATGACCCTGACCCCTTTCTAACGAGGGTTGACCTGTTGCAAATAGGAGCTGTGGAGGGTGTTGGTGTATAACCCTTTTGCCTCCAGCTCAGGGTAAGCATATGATGGAGCAGAAGGTCCCCAGTGCTATGTGGAGCCTTCTTAGGCTTTAGTGACTCCATTGCATGTCTGAACCTTTAGCAGGGCCATGCCATCGGCAAATGTTGTGCTTGGGGAGATGCCCTAATGTGGTACAGAGCCTTACTGAGCTGACAGGGTGGCTGGTCATAAATCCTGGGTGAGGGCAGCCTGTATCCTGCTCTCCTAGCAGGATGCCAAGGACTGTGCCCCCAGTACGAGCAGAGCCTTGTTTTCCTCTCTACTCAGCTTTCTTCCAGATAGCAAAAGCAGCCTTGCCAATGTTCCTCTATGGCTTCTACTGCTGCCAGTAATCTGGGTAATCTCTTATCTTGACTTATTTTGCTGTTTATAGCCATGACAGCCGAACCCTAGACAATGTGTAATGTGTGAGTTATGTTAAACATCGTCGAGCCAACACTGATCTGGAGCCAGGGCACTGCGAGCTGTGTGCTAGAGCTCAGAGCACCAGGGGTGGAAATCAGCAGTGGCAAGTGATTTGGGAAATCTCTGTGTCCCGGCTTACTCACTCAGTGAACAGTCTGCTCTTTGGGACTGATGGAAGGTTTTGCCTAAAGGCGGTTGAGTGTTTCTGGTTATGAGACACTCAGCCACAACTTCAAGCAAAAGGCTTGTTAGTCATCTTTCCTTCTATCTCATGTATCATCACAGTAATAAACCTCTCATGGCTGCTGTCCAGGATGCTGGGAAGTTGGGCTCTCTCAGTTTGAGCCTTCTCTATCTGTGTGTTCCCAGTGCTTTGTCTCAGTTTGTCCTGGTTTGGACTCTGGCTGAAGTCAATCTCCTACAGCAGTTGGAAAAGATACAACCAAATCATATCTTTCTTAGCTGGATTGACTCCTAAGTTTTGGCAGGACCAAGGAACTCTTCAGTCAGAATTGAAACTGCTAATATAATCAGTTACTCCACGCAGAGCATCATCTTTTGCATGCAAACATATAGGTACAGTCCCTTTCCAAGTCTTAATTACTGGGTGGATCTAAAGATAAAGGCGATTAAAAAAAAATTCATCAGTCATGAACTGACATCATTGTTTGCGTCAAAGAAGCAGATCCACACTTCTGTAACATCATGAAATCTTAACACAGGCCATCACTGTAGAACTGGTGATGCTGATGGTCTTTTTTATAATAAATTCTTTTAAAGGCCTGATCTTAAGTTGAGCTGAACATCTCATGAGTTCTTTTCTTGGAAGAGCTCAGTACATTTCTCAATCAGCTGGTTGAAAGAATGATGAACTGTGAAGACAAGTGCCTGGATGTATGAGTTTTCTCAGATACAGTCATAACCACATCCTGAGTTAAGGAGCCATTTGCAGTCATCTTATCAAACAGCCCTTGCTGTTATCAGCCTATCAGTGACAGCAAGGCACAAGTGTTGAAGTAGAGAGAGAGATAAAGAAAAAGGAAAATTTTCTGAGCAGCCAGCTGGGAAAACAAGTAATGAGGCCCCCTGCTTGGGTGTCTTTTCCATGTAGGAGGGTCCCCACATTACAATGTCCTACAATAACCAAACAGTTTTTATCGGGAACTGTTTTGGGGGAATTTGTGCTTTGTTCCCGGTTGCAATGCTGTTGGGAGAACACTTGGACCAGAGTGGGTGTTGCATGCCTGCTGGTTGTTAATCTGTGTATTTTTGGGTCCAGTCACTGACAGCTACCACCAATGGGAATATAAAGGGTGGGCATGATTCTCACCCCAGTGGCGGTTGCTCTCCTTGGGAACACACCTTAACAACAGTATCAAATTTGCAGGACCAAAGCCATAAGAATAACAGCATGAGAACAATGCGAGAACAACTGACAACAGAGGAAAACAGCTGTCCCAGAAGAGCTGGAAAACACTCTTATGGCAGCTTAGGAGAAAAGGTACAAATGTGCAAGTGAAAGGCAGGCTACAGAATGGCAGCCAGATGGCCCTCAGCACGACAAGGGCTAAGGCACCTATGGCACTGCCACAACGAGGAGACTGGCACCCCAGAATGGGGCCCACAGCATCGAGGTGCTGAGAGGACATTGCTCAGACAGACTGAAATGTGAAAAAGGAGTCAATCCTGGAAATGCCACCTTTCTCTCTGACTTAGGTATTCATTTGAAAGCCCAGATTAGGTGTCAGCTTGTACCTTGGGGCATCTAGTAGTGCAGAACACTGATGAATCACAGTTCACCTTATAGTCCTTCATACAGCCAAACCAGGACCTGGCTGGGGTGGGTCATGACTTCAAAACCATACATCCAGAGAGTAGAGGAGAGTGGGAGGTTGCTGCACACCTTGGTGTTCCCTGGGCACACAGTCAGGACGTGGCAAGGGCAATCATCCAGGCTAGGGATTTGCAGAGAACTCTCACACATAACCATAATCCTGCCCTTGGGGACAGATTACCAGTTAGCATTTCTTTTCTTCCTGACTATATCTGGAATGGGTAACTCCCTCTTTTTGTATAAAAATCTGCTAGTTCAAGTACTTGCCCAGAAACGGCAAGACATAAGTTTCATGCCCTCAACCTGAGAGATTTCAAAGCCACTGCTTCCCTTTCTACATGAGCATCTTCACAGGTTTGCTGGAGGTCAGTGAGAGAAGGAAATGTTCTCTATACTTCCCTAATTGTAGCTGGTCTGTTGTGCAAAAAGGAGTGGATCTGCAAGAGAAGGCAAGCAAAAGAGACCCTGCCTCTGTAGCATGTCATCTGGGCTCTTCCAGGGCGGGGAATGAGGAGTGCTGGCTGATCCTTGCAACAGGGAACTTCTCCGATCCCACTTCATGGTAGTAAATATATAAATAACACCAGGAGTGAGGAACAGAAGTTGGGGCTTGCTCTTCCTGGTGGGAATGCCAGAGGCTCTTTACCAGTGAGAGACCTCTTTGGTCTTTCTTTGTGTAGGGTTCGGCTTCAACAGAAAGGGTAGGGAGGAGTCCACCCTGTCATCACCCTGTAGGTGGGGTGCTCCCAAGGTTGGCAGCTCCCAAGGTAGGGTGCTCCCAAGGTTGGCAGCTGCAGACTTTCTGTTCTAGTCTTCTCTCTTGAGTTGTAAACTTTTCTAAACGAAGGTCAGGTTTTTGTGATGTGTCTGCACACTGGCTAGAATAACATTGCCAAGCACCTTGCTATTATCTTGCTACTGTCACTAATTACCTAATTAAAGCTGATCATGATATGTTAATGATAAACCTTAGCCTGATTTCTGAGGAGAACAGAAAATTGGCTTAGTTTTCCTAGCTCTGGTCTCATTAAAGCCTCATGTCATTGTCATTATAATATGATTTTCATTACTTAATCCATTATTTACCACAGGGAGAATCTGAAATGAACAGACTATATTTACAATGTGAAAATGCTACTTGGGTACTAGTCTTGGAACCGATGGTTTTGTACAAGGAATTGCTTTACAAATCTGTCTTGTGACTACTTTTAAAAATAATACTATTTAAAATAGGCACTTAAGGGATGAGTAACAAGTCTTGGCTTTGCAAATGCAGACATTGGATCACAGTGACCCTCTGCCTCTTGGGAACAACTTCCCTCTCACTTCCAAGCCATCAGATAATGTGTGCTGCGTAAACTGAACTCAGGTCAGAGAGCTATTCACATACATTGCTAATTGGTGAACTCCTCATTTAGTGTTTTAAGGGATCTGGCACCATGTTTCAGCTTTACTCTCCAGCAGACTCCTTGATCCAGTGGAGCTTGCTTTTTATAATTGTTCACTTCAAATAACAATGTTTTCTCCCCAGAGGTTTTGATATTTGTGAATCCGAAGTGGGTTTTTTTTTTGTTTCATTCAGAACATTGTACCTTGACAAGCACTGTGGTTTCCCATCTCTGTCAATGGGTTCAGCAAGTGACTCAGAGTGACACATAAATGAACAGTCAGCGCCGCTCCCTGCAGTGTCTGGCCATTCAGAGAACTCCCTCACCACCCATACATCTTTGTGGTTTGAGAAGTCTGACAAGATTGCCATCAAAAGTGGAAAATTCGGGAAAGCCCAACTCTGTTTTGACATCAGCCACTGGTTTAAAATGCCAAAGCACAGAGAAAGCAAAACCACGAAGATACAGGAACTGCAACGCAACTGTTGTCAAGGTAAATCAAACAGCCCGGGGTTTGTAAGCTCAGTTTTTCCTTACAGTCTATCAATGTATATTCATGAGGAAGCTGGAGGGGCAATGGCACAAGAGCTCCCTTCCTTGTGTGTACGCAGTGGATGGTCCACCAAGAACCTCGACTCTTGCTCTCAGGAGGAGACGAGTCTATCGTGCCCAAGAGAGGTGGAAAGTGCAAGAAGAATGTCAAGCTCTCTGTCCAGCGGGTCCTCGAGGGACAGATGAGCAGGCTCCAAGTCTTTCAACAGTGTTATTGAACATGCTGCTTCACAGCCAATGTACTCTCCAGATGCTACTTGGCATCTGTGGTTAAATCCATGGATGTTTGATATGCTCAGTACTGATCAGGAAGAGTTAAACAGTCTTGTTTCTCCAAAGAAAACAAAAAGTCCCTTGTCTTCAAGGCATCACATATTTTCAAGTGCCTCTATACTTGAATATCCACCTGGAAGTCTTTTTGGGTTGGATGCTTAGTGCCCCTGAACTTCACAGCTATAAACGGTGTTATGAAGCACTGTGGCTGTTCAGTGTTTGGGAAGGAGCAGATGCCTGGTGTTGAAATATGCATTTGAGGCATCCTCTGAAATACAGTGGAAAGGCAGTCAGCTGTTGTCCTTAAATAAAGGGAATAGGAGAGAGAAGACTAAATCAAATTTGGGTTTTGCTTTCAAATCCAGCCATTCATGATGCCTTCTTTTTACTCAAAATGCAGCATGCCTGGAGATTTTTCCCACCTGCTCTTTCCTTTAGGAAAAGTTTGCTTTGTTTTACCTCCCTTGCAAAAATTAACATCATAATGAGGAAAGCACTTTGCTGTTCTGGTTTGCAGTACACCAGGAGACAAAACGACCCACAAGTCCATGTCCTTGACCGAATTGGCAGTGCCTTGGCACCCATGTATTTATAACCTCTAAAAGGTATCCACACCAAGTGATATGTGGGCTGGGGGACCAGCAGTGCCAGAAAGTCACCTCTGTGTGCTGAATGGTCATCTTTGCAGAGGGAGTCAGTACTGTAAGCTTTTTTGTGTGGGAACATTAATAACTGCACATTGTTTTATCTCGAGCCGTTGTCTGTACTTGCATTTGGTATCCTAAAGATACTGCCCCTCTGGAGGAAGAAGAGATGACTTCTCTCCATCCATGGAAATGTCACTAGGAACAGTCCCAGGTTATGTGCTGAGTGCTTGAATGTCCCCATCTGGCCCACAGGTCTGCCAAAGGTTTTATAGAGGCTGTAGCCTAGAGGTATTTGGGACAGGACCCATAGCATGGTGTAGACTGGCAAGTTGTAATTGCACCTGTTTGGCTGAGGATAACATGAAATGAAGCATGGCAGCTAAGAGAAGGGGGAAAGCAAATGCTGATATGAAAATAACCCTTCCCCATTTCATTCTTCACACAAGGCACAACAGCAAGGTAATTTCTGTTAGAAAGTAAACCACCTGCACTAAGGAGGCTGAAAATATAAGTTCAAGCACAGGGATAAATGGGGAAAAACAGGATGGCACAGTCATGGTCAGACATAGGCCAGAATACAGAGGTGGCTCTCGAGCTGCTCCCCCAGCAGGTCACAGTGGTCAGCAAATTTCTCAGGAACAACAGGACAGGAAAACAACAGTTTTCAAGACAGATTTGAATCTCAATCGAGTTTTTGCAGCAGAGATCATGAAGACATCACTTCATGCTTAAATGAACCAGAGAGAACTTACTGAGGTATTTGTATATGATCATGCCAAATGTCCTGGGCAGTACCAGATTAAACCCACTGCCAGCAAGATGAGGAAATCCAGCAGTAGAAAGGTGTTAAAATGCTCCACACTAGCATCTGTGGAAATAAACTGGTACTGGGTGCAGTAAAAGGCAATCAAATGTTAGTCCACATGGAACTTGGGGGTTTTTTTGTAGGGCCCAATCTGGTACTGCTTTGATATAAAAAAAGTGAGAGAAAGAATAAAAAGAAAAAGAAATGGTTTGATTTCCTGATTAAAATTGAGCTCCATTTGTTTTGAATGAGAAGTTTCTCTGTACAACAGTGACTCATAAACTGTAAGTCAAAAAAGAAAAGAAGAATTAATCATCAGGAAAGGGAAATACAGAAACAAAACAAACAAAAAAAACCCCGAAGTGCTTCAGCTCTATGGGGCTGAGAGAATGAGTGTATATCCTGTGATGCACTTGACTGTATGCAAGTGGCTTTCCTTCTGCATTTTTGTATCAGTAAAATTAGAGGTTGGAGCTTGGGGGATATAGGTTTAGCTTTTGATTCTGCAAAGCTTCCTGTGAGGCATGGGATGAATTCTCAAATCTCTCTGGGTCTCACCTGTAAAACAGTAATAACATTCTTTGTCTATTTAAATTACTGCTTCTTCCTATGAGTTTCTATCAGGCCTAGAGTAACAGGGCTCTAATGCATAATTAGAATCTCTAGCTGCCACTGTGCTATGAATAATAATGTTTATTAATCATAATAAACATGTCAGTGCTGTCAGAGCATGTGCAGGGAGCAAGTAGAGCAGTGTCTGACAATCACATCCTGCCATGTAAGGCTTGGGGTGGAAAATGAGACTCATTCTGCAGGTAATGTAAAACCCAGGGATGGCCAATGTCTTCCTGAAGGCGATGTTGGCAAGAAAGAAAACAGGTCACATTTGTTCTAAAAAATAATGCAGCAATATAGCTGTGTCCCTCTCTAATGTGTCAAGATAGCTCCTCATATTTCCAGACTGCAGTAGTGAGGATCTGAGTAGTGTGTGTCCAATCCAAAATATATATAATAATGGTAATAAACCCTAAATTATATACTGAAATTACCCAAATTTATTCATTAACTCTTCCCTCTAGTTGCTCTCCTCCTCTTCCTCCTTTATCCAAGTCACTGTTTCTGTTAAGAGCTGAAGAAGGGCAGAATTCAGGCCATTTCTATCCAATGATCTCAGTTACCAGTCCCTCCACCTGTGTGCCAGCAAGGGATGGATCAGGTCCTATTTCTGACTCACCGTACTGAGAGGTGAGATGGCAGCCCACCTAGGAAAACCTCATATTTTGCATTCTTAAAAAGCTGATCTTATGGTAAGGCACAACTCAAAGTGGCCCAGTGTTCTCCAAATTGAACCTTGTTTGCCAGAGTGGTGTAAAAAACAGAGATCATCCCAAACCCAGCTGGGCTAGGATCCACCCTTGCCCATATGAAACAATTGCTGCTGCTGACAGCAGGGAGGTCACCTTAGATTTTGGACTATTTATACTAAAACAAGACAGATAAAGCCTTTGAAGCTCCTGGAGTTACTTGAGACTCCAGCTGGTGTAAAGGAGGTCAGAACCTGCTTCTAGGTCCTTCGGTTGAATCTCATTGCTTGATCTATGCTGGAGATACTTGCTGCAGAGTTAGTCATACTTGTGTCCTGAAGAGACCTCACAGCACTTTCTATTAATCAGAAGTACCTGCTGGGAGGAATTGTCTGGTGAACTACAGGACTGGATTTGAGAACAAAAAAAAAATAATGAAATTCTGTACATTGAGAAAGAACCTAAACAACACAAACTCTGTAAAAAAATAAATGGTGTGCTGTGTAATGGGGAAACAGTCTTCCTCCTGACAGCCTAATTACAGGTGGCTGATTTATTCTCCTCTGGAGCACGCCTGATCCCTTGCTCTGGTGCAATCCATCCCTGGCCACTCCTGCCGGCCCCACCGTTTGGGAGCCAGACAGGCCACAGCCACCCTGCATCCACCAACATCAACATTTGACTTTCAGTGACAGCATCTCCTTGACTCTGCAGCCCAATCCAGGAACCACTAAATCAAACTGAAGAAAGTGCATCAATGCCCATTTTTTTATTAAATCCAAATATCAAGTGTTATGTGTTTTTAAGTGGTGAAAGGTCCTGGGCACTCAAAACCCATTGAAAAACTGCAGGATCTGAAGACATAGCTCTCTTTTTTCTTTCACAAATTTGAGCTTCAGAGGTGCCCTGGTGTGTGAACTCAGTCAACACCTCACGTGTGAGTGCATTTATAATATTCTCATTGTGGCACTGCCAATACCTTCGTGCTTTTCAATCGTTTCATATTCATTTCGAAACAAAACAAACATTATTTGCAAAGTGTGTCTGCTCAAAGTAATTCTCTGAACTGTTCACGTTGTGTGCATCACCCATGCTAGGAAAATATTGTATGTCTCCATGTAAAAACCAATTGTGCACCCCACCTTCAGAAACCTCCCATGCTCAGCCTGTGGTCCAGCTCCTCCATTGCATTAGAGAACAGTGATGATGCATTCACTGCTGTGTTCCCACTGCTGCTGACAGATAGAAACAGCCACAATGAAAAAAACCAGCACATTTACTTAACCCATGTCCTTGCAGTGAACAGTCCCTGGAATTTGCAGCAGGGTTCATGTTGTGCCAGGCTCTCAGTACACCTTGCTGATTTCCCAGCACCAGCACTTCTGCAAGGCTGGAAATACTGTCTGGTGGAGGCAGGAGAACAACAAGGAAAACAAAGCCTTGCCCCAAGCCACCATTTCAAATCAGTGGTGGAGACTAACAGATGCCAGCAGATTCCCAACCCCTTGTTTCAGCCGCGAGGCAAATCCTATTTTTCCAGTGACTTCAGTAGCTAAGACCAATTGACTGTGGCATCCAATTCATTTTTACAAGCTTTGTGGCACTATGGTCTACCAGGAACCCAGACTGAACAATAATTTTCATTTGAACCATTTTTCAGCTGTAGGTGTTAAAGACATAGGTGGATTGAAGAACCCCACATCTGTCATTTTCCCACCTTTTTCATTGTCTTTGATGTGGGAGCTGTACCACTGTGTCCTCCATGTCAGTACATCATCTAATATATTGCTTAAAGAGCTGCTGAACTGTCTATACTAAAGAGTGAAAATATGTCAGCTTATGTTTTATTTAGACTGAGAGCACAAATCCTTACCCTGCTCTGCCTTTGGGAGAAGCAGCCATGCCCAGGAACAATGCCGTGGTTCCAGCCAAACCACATCTGATCCTGAGATGTCATCCCTGACATACAGGTTTGGAGATGCTATTTCTCAAATGCAAATGTCAAAACGATGGCATTCGTTCAAAAATCAGCCCTCTGCTTTTGTTAAATGTATGAAATACCTGTGAGTGTGTTTAGAAGCAGACCAGGTGCCTCACAGCTGGCTTTAAAACAGAAAATTTGAAGTAGGGAGGAAACAATTTGGAAAAAGCTGAAGAGGGCTGAGAGGTGGAGAAACCCCTGTGCCAGCGGTTGGGTGTCAATATGGTATCACCACAAGACTAGTTCTCTGCCTAAAACAACCTTATTTGAGGATTATCTCTGGAACAACATCATCTGTTCTTGATCCTTTCCAACCTTGCTTAGCTGCCATTTGGCTCCTGCTCCCTACGCACTGAGGACATCCAAGAGCCACACAGATGGAGTGGGAGCATTAACACTGGCACTTCCTTATAGACCATGTTACAGGGTCAGTGAATACCCGACACGTAAGCAGCCTTACAGCAACAGGGCCCTCTTTCTTTCTTCACCACATCATGTACCAAGAAAACACCAGACATCCCTGACATCCTCCTAAATATCAGAGGGAGGGAGGGTCTGTTCCTAAAGCCCTTCCAAATCCCAGTTTTCCACCCAAATGAATAACAAGCATGAAGCAATGGGTTAGCTCCCCTTCTCTTGGAAGCATCACCCACTTGGCCAGCAGAATGGAAGGACCCAATAAGATCTGTTTTGGATAATCTGTATGACAATATCGAGCATTTCTTTTTATTTTTAAGTTTGCTGCTGGAATAAATTGCTTCTGGGATGCTTCTGTAGCTGTTGGCTCTGGCTAAATAGCAGGAGGACTCCCAATAGCAGGAGTCATATGACCATGCTCTTGTGCACTTGTGAATGGAAAATCATGTGTCTTCATAAATCACAGGAATATAAAGACCATATGCAATGTTCAGAAGTCCCACATATCCACTTGAGAGCGGGCCAATGCTAACCAAAAAATCTGAAAGCAGAATTATCTGTACTATGTGTTTTACTTTGCTTTAATACTGAACGTAAGTGGAGAGGAGAAAAAAGACAAATAAAAGAGAATGTCAAGAATAATGAAAAAAGTGTGTATTCCAGGCTCAAAGAAATTATTTTGACACCAGCTTTCACATTTTTTTATTATCACCCCTTTGGGCAAAGTCATTCAAAAGAACAAACAGAAAATCATACCACAGACTATGATACAGAACCTGCCTCTCCCAGCAGACTGGATGTGACAGCAGAAATAAGACCTCAGGATCCAAGCATGGTGGAAAATAAAAAGGTTGTTTTAAAATATTGCTGCTTTAGTAAGTGGGGAGATGTGTGAACTCAATATTACTAAGAAAGTGATTGCCTTACTCTAACCTTACCCTAATTTTTCCCCAGTGTTAATACATGCATATTGAACCACCACATCCTGAATGTGATAAGCACCTGCCAGGATCTGCTCCAGGACTCACCAGAGCTGTCCCTAATGAGACCTGATTTGCTCTTGAGTGTGTCTGTTCCCTGTGGATGCTGGAGAGTCCCCCCACAGATGGTGCAGAGGATGCTCTTGTGTCTGGAGCCACGTGTGCTACGTCTCATCTTCACATGGAGTACCTATCTGCCAGAGTAGAGTTGGCAAAGGTTAGCTGGACTTCCTTCTGTAGCAGCTCTCTGCAGACAACACGGTGCATAGCTGGCCTTCCTTGCTCTTTTCCATTGCTCTTCCTATGCTGCCCTCCCAGCTCTCTCTCTCTACTCCTGCCTGGTGCCTCCTTTTCCCTATCAACCTCTCCTTAACAAGGTCCTACTTTGAGCAGACAAATCTCCATTTTCTTCTACTTCTCTGTGTTTTGTTCACCCTTTCTGTTTTACAGGGATTATATGTTTTCAGCCTTCCTACATATATCATTGTCATGCAAGTTGTTTTACTCACCTTTGAGTTGTAGCATATGAACACACAGTTAAGACCTGTGGACCATAGAATTAGCATCCCTCTACCCAATGGAGATCCTTCTTTTCCCCTGGGATTTGCTTTCCGACTGCTTCTGGAGCTATGACCTTGGCCTATACAAACTAAGGTTGCTCCCACGTACTTTTACGGAGGGAAGAATATTTAAGGGACATAATAATAGAATCATAGAATGGTTTGGAAGGGACCTTAAAGATCATCCAGTTCTAAGCCCTCCTGCCATGGGCAGGGACACCTTCCACTAGACCAGGTTGCTCAGGATCCCATCCAACATGGCCTTGAACACTTCTAGGGGTGGGACATCCACAACTCTGGGCAATCTGTTTCAATTCCTAACCACCCTCACAGTAAAGAATTTTTTCCTGACATCCAATCTAAATCTCCCCTCCTGCAGTTTGAAGTAATTTTCCCTTGTCCTATCACTACCTGCTCTTGTAAAAAGTCCCTCTTCAGCTTTCTTATAGGCTCCCTTTAGGTACTGAAAGGTGATCTAAAGTCTCCCCAGAGCCTTCTCTTCTCCAGGATGAACAACCCCAACTCTCCCAGCCTTTCTTCATAGGAGAGGTGCTCCAGCCCCCGATCATCTTTGTGACCCTCCTCTGAACTTGCTCCATGTCTTTCTTGTGTTGGGAGACCCAGAGCTGGACGCAGTACTACAGGTGGGATCTCATGAGGCCATCACCTCATGAGGTCCATCACCTACTAAATTTGAGAAAAATATGCCCCAGGGGCTGTTGTGCTGGGTTGTGTATTGGAAGACCTATTTCCACATCCTGTTCAGATTTTCCTCATGACCTTTAGTGAGCTATTTAGGACCGGATCTTCCAGGCTCTTCAAACCCTGGAAGCCTGGGGCATAGGATGTGTCTATCTTGCAGAAAGACCAGCTGGATGTGCAGCCTGGGATTCAGCAGGGATTGGTTTACCTTGCTGCAAATCAGTAAGGGAAGTGCTGAGCTATGGTTTATGATTCCTTTAAACCAGAGATTTCTGTTGTATCTCTACAATACTGCTGCCACTTTTTAACTGTAGTGTAGACATGCACATAGTGTTGCTGCAGATCTGCCAAGGGACATGTGCACTGAAAACTGGGAGACAATGAGGGCATCAAAAGAAATTACCACCAAGCAAGCAGGGAAAAAAATTCTTCATGTTTGTAAATAAGATATTGCTAAACCACAAAGCAAGTCAGCATTTGTTTGGCATGAAGAGTACCAGAAAGCAGGCTCAAACACTGGAACATGAACACTGTGAAGTCGTTGGAGTGGTCTTGGCCATGATTATGGCCCAGAGTAAGCAGCACTCTCCTAAGCAAAGGTTCAGGAGTTAACCTGGACCAGGTAGTACTAACAGTAGGAAGTTTGAAAACTTGTTTTGGAAGTGAAGCTAAAAGTAGGGAAATGGCCAGACAATGCCAGCTGGCCCCAGGACCCAAGGGTGGGCAGTGGCACCAGTTCATTAGCACAGGTGTATCCAGGGGAGTCACCAACAGGCCCGACAGACATCAGCGATCTGGGACTTGCCACTGCTATTCATCAGCAACTTGGCCCCGTTCTGGGCCACAATTTTTTTATGCCCTAGAGCATCTGGCACCTCCACAGAGCCAACAGGTCTCTACTCCAATGAGTCTCTGTTAAGGTGTAAAGGAGATGTAGCTGAGCCAAGGATGGAGGATGAGACACAGAAGGATATCACAAACCTCTGAATTCTCAGTCTAAGTGAAGGCATATTTCAGGTGAAAAAAAAGTGATGGTGCACATGCTGTGGACAAAGGCATATAAACACAGCCCAGTGAACACAACAAGGAAGAATATTAAAGAATAAAGGCATATAAACACAGCCCAGTGAACACAACAAGGAAGAATATTAAAGAATCTCAGTGAAGTCTTTCTGTCAAGTCCCATGTATTTTCAAAGTGACTGTGCCCTGCACAAATAGACTGAAAGAGTATAAGGATAAGAGGGTTTTTAATTCACCTCATTACATGAGCTGTGAGAAGACCAACCAGGTCAAGCTTTGCATATGAGTGGAAGAAAACCTCTGTGGAAACTGACAATGTTTAGACATGAACTTGGTGTCTACAGAGAAAATTCTGGTCTCGCCCTCAAGTCATACCTCATGGTGCCCTAAAGAATTGTGATTCCAGATTTTCTCCCCAACGTTTACCTCATTCCTTGTGCCTCCATTTTATCACTATGTTACCTCCTTCACCCAGAAGGTACCTAGAAACAACAACACACACTTGAATTCTCATTGCCAAAGCCTAATATTTTGACTTGGATTAAAATGCCCTTATAAATGTCCTCATAAATAGAGCTGATTTTTGCCTTATTTTCTAGTGGAAATGTCATTGAGGTGTGTCTCTTAGGCACACCTCTGGGTACAAGGGATCTATGTAAAAATCTGTGTAATAGAGGAGTTCTGAATGTACAGCACTGCTTGAGCATGGCCAGGAATCTTCGGAATGAGGCCTCTGGTCGCACGTTGATGATGGCCCAGGGAAAACTGAATGGACTTTGAAACCTTTGCCAAGGCTCACAGTAAAGAGTCAATAGAAAGGAATATGCTGTGCTTTCAGCAGCTTTGGGCTGTATTAGGTGCAGGTGGATGGCTTTGCTTGGTTAAGTCAACATGATCATCCTTGTAACACTGGCCTGACTCAATGGAACGGAAGAGTTAACCGGCGCACAACAGAGCCGAGCTTTTGTGACCAGCAGCAAAGTGACACTTAGACCTGAAGGGGGACAGGGAAATAGAAAAAAATACACATTTGAGGATAAAAAAGTTATGATAAACTCACATGGCTCCCTACTCAGCTTGAGTCCTGTTTGGGGTTTGAGACTGTTAACTTGAGTCCTGATTTCTCTGTGTGGAGACATAATCCAGAAGAGAAATTCTGAAGCGCATTCCCACGAGGAATGCATGAACTTTTCAACTTAGCACTGGTTTTCAAACACTAACTGCAAGTTTGCAATTTTTCTTCAGAACCAAAGAAAAACAGGAAAACATAATTTGCACAAAAAAGGTATTTGGGTTGTCACTATAAAGCAGGACTAGGATAGAGCTCCTGAGCCCCACACTCACCATGTGAATGATATTCACATTAAATTAGTAGTGAAGGGAAATGAAGAAATAGGGAAAAAAAGAATCTCTCTGCATCAGTGTGTAACTGTGCTATATTTTACAGATGAATGATAATGCTTAATGGCTTAGAATATGGTGAGGAGCTCAGGGTCTCCATTGAATGTCACCATTTAGGACTGCAGTGCTATATTTTTGATATAATTTGAATCTTTGAAGGTCTAATTCACTCCTGCTTCAGCCTCTGAGGTGAGGAGGAGCATGACATAGACAGAGTAAGAGCAAGTCAGTGAATTTAAAAGAAAAGTAATATTAGTAGATAGGAACATGGTGTCAGTCTAAGACCCTCAAGGGCAGCTCCTCTCTCTGCAGCACTCGGGCTAAGGATTCATATATGTAACTGCTTTGAGATTTCAATGGGAGAGGAAAGCAGGTGTCAAACATTGTTATTTACACTAAGTAATTGCCTACAGAAAATCCCAGAATCAGATCTTTGTTCTACATTCACAAATCTATTCCCTTAATGATCTCTTTTCAAGCCTTTTGAGCTATGAATAGGTTTGTAAGTTTAAGAGCTGGAAATAAGCCACCAGCACTGTGACTGAGTATTGTGAGAAGAGTTTATTAATTTTGGGTTGGGGGAAGGGTCTAAGCTAAATCTGAGTGGGGCAGACATGCTGAAACCAGCCTGTGCCTGTTGGGAAGGAGACCATGGGCTGGGATCCACTGAGGGGGAAGGTAAGGAATGAAGGGAATAGGGATGAAAAGCAACACAAAATCAGTGGGACTAATACGACACATGCCAAATGTTAAGGTCTTTGAAAATAAGCAGAGATAACTATGAAAGACCCATACCATAGCTAAAAATAGTTTTGGTTATGTACACAGAGGAAAAACACGTAGACTTATGCTGTAGGAATTTCTTTATGCAAGTGGCAAGGGACTGTGTTTCTCACAGCAGAAAATGTTACACCACCAGTTGCCATCTTTGCAATAATGGGCCAGTATGGCCAAGCAGCAGTGGCATGTGAGAAGCAAGTAGCTGTGATGGAAATCAGGGAAGTGGAACTGCTGAATTAAGGATTTCTTCCTGCCACAAGAAGCTGGAAATGCTCTACTCATCTTGTACAGACTCCAGGAACTGAACTGAGGACATCACCTGCTTGGAGCAATCCAGCATCTGGAACAACCACAGCAGAGTACTAAAGCATCCAGCATCTCACCAGTGGAGGCCAGTCTTTAGGCTTTAGACCATTTTACCCCTATTTGACAAAAACTTTGCAGCTTCTCGAGGCCACAGTTTAGGTGCTACTCATTGGGAATTTAGTAGAGACTAACTGGCCTTTCTCTATTTGTATTTGCAGAAATTGGTTTATTTTCATGTTGTAACTCGCAGAACAAAGAACTGAGCAGCCGTATCACCAAAGACATTTTATAATAAACTGTGCTAGCAAAAATAATTCTAATCATCTGTAGCATCTCGGATGCATACATTTTTCTGGCCAAAAACTGCCTGAAAGGGACCTTAAAACCATCCTCCTCCACCACTGCTAACAACAGTAGAAGACTGAGGTCTACAGAATGTCCCAGACTCCACGCCCAGTCTGACTCTTGCTGAAGACACCAAAGTAGGTGTAATGATGTCTGCAGGAACCACTCTGTGCTGGCCTTTGGTTCATCATCCACCTTCTCTGTATTTCACCAGTATTTCTACTGAAATTTGCTCTTAACTATCAGCTGCCTACAGGATTCCCTGTGTATTGCACCAGATTCTGTCTCTCAGTGGGACAACCAAGTGTATTGCTTGTGCTAAGTGATATACAAAGGGCCAGGGAGACAGGTAGAGGTTACAGGAATTAGATGGCAGTGGGATAAAGCAAGCAAAAGAGGTTTTTTTCCAGCTTATTTTTTCTCTTCCTTTTCTGGCAATGTTAATAAGACACTAACCACGCTCTTAAGTTATTTTACTCTCAGTAGGTCACAGTTGCTTTAGCCTTTAAATATAGAGAACAGAGAAGATATCTGCCCTTACAGACTCATGCAGTGAGTCCACAGTAGAGGTGGGAATGTCTCTGAGCATCCTGCTCCTGCATAGCCAGTCCCACTGTGATCTTGTCCCAAAGGACACAGCCAAACCAGCTTGAGGAAGGGTTTGGGGGTAAAAAAGTGCAGAGGGAAACCTCCCATCATCACATCATCTTCATATAAAATATAAAATGTATAAAAGTCTACAGTCCCATTTTCTTCCAGGGGCTTCCCAAGGTGCTGCTCTCCCCTACAGTAGCTGAGGTCTGCAGGGAGGCATCGGCCAGAGCCAGGCAAGATGTGAGATGGGAAAGAGGTGAGGGATCTTTTATTGCTAGCTAGGAAAGGAGTGGAAGGGAAGATCCTCTCTGGGTGCCTGGCTGCTGAGAGGATGGTGCTACGTGGGCATACGTGAGAGACTGGCAGTGGAGGAAGATGTTGCGCGAGGACCGGCTGCCATTTCATCACGCTGAGCAACGTGTTTGCACACATACACTGATCACTCCCTGCTCACTGCCGTGGGAGGCAGGTTTGGCTGAAAACTGCTTCTCACTGCTGAGTCACCCCTTGCTGCTGATACACTCCCTGATTCCAGGCCCCTTCAGGGATGGCGAAATAAAGGTTCCAGAAGTGCTTTTGAAAGGTAGGGTGCAAGTGAAGAAATCAGTTTGAATCCTCCTAGGAATGGAAAAGCAAAAGTGGGGATGAGGAAAGGATAAAGTCACTGGACTTCACAAAATTGGGTTTGATTCTTTGGACCTAACTTTTCAATATACAATGCCTGGTCTCATCTGCTGAGAAGTTGAAGACTATCAACTTGGGATTCTCAGATGTTCAAGTACCTTGGAAAATCAGGCCAATTGCATCAAGATTGCTATGCATTTAAGGAAGCATGGGCTCTGCACATGACATTAGAAGCCTGTTGTCAATAGCCCCAGAGTTACACTTACCAGAAAGAAAATGCTTGTGCTTTTTCAATCATCAGGATGATATTGTACATTTAGCGCTTCACTGCTGTTGGAAAGACCACAGAGAGTGAAACACAGTGTAGATACCACTGGGTAACACATTCCTTAATGACATTTTTAAAGCATTCCACATTGTCAGTACAATACAGAAAGAGGGAGAATGGAGCACAGCCTTCACTGAAAATAGAAGAGGGAAAAAATAATAATCACAAGAACTTTTCACTGATGTGGGCTGTGGCATCATGCTATCTGCTGCTCAGAGCAGACAGTGTTTCCAAAATATACACAGCACAAATCCAGCAGAGTAAAACTTGAATAACTAGTCATGATCCCCTGGATTTAAATAGGTTGCCAACTCCCTATGGAAAGGGGGACCAAAAATAACTAAATCTGGATCATTGGAATATTCCAATTGTCCCTCAAACAAACAACCTCTGCAGTAATATTTGATTTCCAGCAGTTTCCCTCTGAAACTACAAAGATCTGGCCATGGTGCCCAGTGATGCATGAAACTGTTGATCCATTCTCAGGATGATTAAGGGGTATGTATTTGTTGTTACCCCTTGAGAGAAGGATGTGATTTATCACAAAACAATGGTGAATTTCACAGGAGGGTACCAGGCTCTGTACGGCTGTGACAGAAAGTCAGCATTGAGCAGGCAGTGTTTTGTACGGTCCTGGAAACATTTTAGGACAGTATTACAGCAAGGTAAAATTCAGGTGCCATTGAAATTGATTTCAAAACTCCTGTTGACTTCACTAGAGCCAAGATTTCCTCCAAAGAATCCCTACGTATATTTTAGATCCCTGGAGCTTCTCTTTAATAGCAATGTTTTCCCCATGGAACTAGAAACAGAGAGGGAAAAAAAGGGAATTGAAGGCATATGGGAGAAAGATGAATCAAAGCTTCCCTCCCCCATCTCCTTCGTGGAAAGAAGCTTCTGTGCCCTCAGGTGACCACATCTCCCTGTTCTTCTCTACCTTTCTCTACCTTCCTACAGGTCTCATCCCTTCAGAGCAAAGGAGCCCACAGGCAGCCTGAGCCTGGTAATGCTCCACTGCCAGCACTTCTTACTCAGCAGGATCAGCCAAAAGCCTCAACAGCATCCTGCTTTATCGTTCACCTTTATGCTTAGTCTTAAAAGATTGACAAGACTGAGATGTGATGGCTTCACTGCACCCCTAAGTGAAGAAAAGACAATGACTTCTTTCAAATGAGTCCTGCTGAAGGTCCAGCTTGCAAATGGACTGACGTGGGGCTTTAGCTGAGGCATCTGATTAAGACTGGTCACCAAGTCCTTCAGTGATGGAGTCAGTGCCAAGTCAGCACCAAGTCAGTGCTGAAGAGGGAGAGGGAAAAAACATGACAAGCTGTATCTATTACAGTCGGTTTCAAATGAATGTCTTACCTTTAATCACAAATAGTCAGTGTCTGATCTAGTCTCCAAACAGGAAACTTCCTTCTCTTTTCCAAAATGTTACTGATGACAAACTGTCATTAGAGAGCCTTGCTAGCTATAGAATTGGCAAGGTCTCTTTGATTTGATTCCAATGACAATCTACAGGCAGGCTGTCCACAGCCAAACTATATGAGAAATAAAGGGAATCTTATTTTGGTGAAAGGTATTTGTGTTTCAGTTACATAAGTGGTAGTGTTTTGTGAGGATGTGGTGCCTGGAGTTTCAGAAGATGTTTTGCCAAGAAATCACTCCTTGGAGAAAGCTGCTTGCAGCAGTACAGCTTGCCCTCTCCTCCTTTTTTTTCTAATTTATTTTTTTCCAGGAAATCATCATTCATAGAGCTTGGGTAAGGAGGAAGTGCTGCATTCATAAGACCTGCAAAGAGATCCACTGTGCCCAGCAGGCTCCTGCAAACACACTGCAGCAGGTGAGGAGCAGCACTGTCTGGTCACTGCGACCAGATCCCACCAGCCAGCTGACGGTGATTTCCTTCTTCTGGGAGAGGCTGGAGCAATTGGTTTGTAATCCAACTGAATTTTGGCCAGAACACAACCCAGGAGACTCACTGCTGAACCATTTCACTTTGACAGCTGGCAACAATTTGTGGACCACAGGCACGCCTGCTGAGCTCTGTGCTCAGAGGGGGACGCAGAGCTTGCCAAAGTGAGAGACACCTGCTCCTGCCTCCCAGCTCCCACCTGGAGATAAAAGCCTCACTGTCTCTCGAGACAGAAATTTTCCTATCACTTGTGAAGTGCAGGAGCCCCCAGCATGCAAATCATCCCTCTTTCTTCCTTCTTTCCTTCTCTATTTCAACAATTGCAAAAAATAATTTGATAAAAGCCTGCTTTAGTTTCAAGGACTAAGTTAAACTCAGAGAGTATTGCTCCAGATCAAGGCATGGACATCAAATCAATTAAATCAATGCAGTGTCATATCTGCAACATCCTCATTATCAGATTTCACATACAATATGCTGTCATCACAATAGACAGTTCCTCCTCCCAGCACTGTAAGTGGGAGACTTGTCATTAGCATCAATAGAAAGTGCACTGAATCCTGAAGGAATAAAACAGCAACCTGGCAGAACAAGGCTCAGACATTACATAGACTGCAATGGTATAAATAACCACCCATATCTTGAAAAATTAATGCTCCAAAAGCTCTGTTTTATTGGGATATCAGAGAGACAAGCTGACACAGTGTTTCAAAGAGCTTATGCTGCAGCAGCCATGCATGTAATGTGCCCTCTGTGTATGGTCCACGTGGGAGCAGGAGGACCAGCTTTCACACAACAGTGTGGCACAGACACAAACCACCACTCCTCCTTGGCACACTCAGCTTCTTGCCTGTGATGGAAGGATGGGATGGAGAAGGAAAGCAAGCCCAATGAATGACCACAGTGGGAGAGAAATAACAAAATCTGGAAGCATATTTCCTATTTGTTCTTTGGTGCCACTATCTCAGATTGGTTTGGCAATCAATGCAAGGGAATATTAGTGTGCTCTGCATAAAATTGCTTCATCTAGCTGCATTAAAGTAAATTCATAAATAGAAATGGTGGAATGGAATATATTTATTGCACTAGCCTTGATAAATACTTTAAATGCATTGCTTGCCATCTTTGCATTTACTTTATTACTTGGAAAGATCAGTACCTTTAAGAGTAAAGTTGCTGAATTCAACTGAAAGTCAAATTCTTGGCAGGTGACAGACAAAACAGCTCACTGGCTTCTCATATTACTTTATTTTTAACCCACTGGTGCCACTGCAGTGCTCTGCAGTGTATTTTGTATACAGAAATAAACCACCTACACTTTTTAGTGAAATACTCTAATTCAACAATTTGAATACAAAAGCTTTTAATAACAGCTTGTCCCTCCAAAAAAAAATCCCCAAAAACAAAACCATCAAACATAATCTATACTGTCAATTCACATGTGTCTGCTTAAAAAAGCCTCCACACCTACATCTCCAATCACATCATCCTGTCTGCTTTTGCAGCCTGGGGAAGATGGGCTTTGCAATCTGCACTGAGGAGTGAGGAAGGCAAGTCAGTTCCCAGCTCCAGGAAACCTTTGTGGGAAAGATGGAAACAAAAGATCCAACTAGTTTGTCTGGGGCAAGTTCCGGGTCAGTTTGGTTCTGTTCAGCTGAAATATAGTTGTGTGGCATGGAGCAACGTGAAGCCTTTCCCCAGAGCACTGGAGCAGCAAACTTTTAGGGCTTTGTGTCTTCTGTCACCTGAAAATCTTCACAAAAGTTAGCCGGGCGCTGGCTTTTAAGGCTGGTGGTCTTCTGATGAAGTCCCCTGTCGCTAACTACAGAAGTGCTCTGAAGTCTTCAGGGAGAAGGAATATATCTTGTACACACTTGTTCCTCAGGGAGTTCTTCTCAAAACCCTGTCCTGTTGCCACCCAGCTTCCCATCGCTCCCTCCTCCCACTCAGCTTCGTCACTCTGACTTCACCATGCAGTTGAGGATTTGGCCCTGGCAAGACTGTGGATGTAGAAGAAAGATCAGAGGTTAATCAGAGGTTAGTGAGGGAGGAAAAAGCAGTGGCTTGAGGGGAAAATGGGGCTGACATCTCCCCAGACCAGCCATTGTTACAGTCCCTCCATTGGCAAGAGCACTAGTGGGAGCACTTATTTTTATTACCTCAAGAAGAAAAGCATCAGCCAAAGATGGGGGTAGGGCTGTCAGAACTCATCTCCTTTTGGCTTCCCTCTTCTTTAGGAAAAGAATGTCTCCTGAATTCAAGGAATCCCTCGTTTCTCTCAAGATGATGGTCTTTACAGCTTTTTTTTTTAATTTAAGAAATTGTCAGGCTCCAAAGTTGCCTTTTTATATATCTTGCAATAAAGCTGCATTGCTTCCCCTTGCTGCTGCATTATTCACTTTGCCCTGCAAATCCTGCTGAGTGAATTACGATGTTTATTGCTTTGCCTTGCAGTGTTTTCTTCATACTTATCTGAACAATCTGCAAGAAAATCTGTCAGTAAAGGTCTTTTCTTTCATAAGCAGCTGAACAACTACTGGGACTGTTCACTTCATCCCACCAAACACCAAGCAAAAACACATCGTCCATCCCACCAGATAGACACCACCCCAGCTCTGGTGTAGCACACAGGGTTGGCCAGTCCCTCTGAGCCTGCAACAGCATTGTAACAGAGATAGGAAACCAAGGGAAGAGCATTTTAGTCCAAATTATTCACTTCAGGACACACAAAAGTGGTATGGAGGAGCAGAGAACCAAGTCTGGGGCTCCACATGGTTCAGAGCAGAAAGGAGCACAGGGATTTTATTCAGAGCAGTCACTAAGGCACCAGGTTCAACCAAGGAGTCTCCAGCTCTTCTCCTTGTACTGCCAAGGGACACAAGGGAGTACAGCACCGTGCGTCACCCTGTTGTAGGATGCTGTGTCTTCTCAAGACCTTGTGCTATCACAAAAGGCAAACAAGGAAGAAGTAGTTTGCCTTCTGGGATTCTCTGCTGGTGTTGTCCCTGAAGCCCTCTACAGCAAGACTGCAAAGATGAACATTCTCCCCTTTACTGGTGTTCCCAGATGTGCCTTTACATCTGTTAACATTTTAGATAAAAAATTAGATTTACCAATCTAATTTGATTCTAGTGAAATTTTAGAGGCAATTAAGGGTTTGCTTTTTGGCTTTTTTTCATTTCCTCTCTAGTAGAGATCAGCAACTACAAAGACACTTTCATATTATCAGCTATACTTCTCAGATCACAGAATCATTAAGGTTGGAAAAGACATCCAATATCATTGAGTCCAACCCATGATTGAACACCACCTTGTCAAGTAGACCATGGCACTAAGTCCCATGTCCAGTCATTTCCTGAACACCCCCAGGGATGGTGACTCCACCACCTTCCTGGGTAGCCCATTCCAATGCTTAACCATCCTTTCAGTGAAGTTCTTCCTGATGTCCAACTGAACCTCCCCTAGGGCAGCTTGAGGCCATTTCCTCTAGTCCTGTCACTGGTTGCCTGGGAAAGAGGCCGATCCCCACCTGGCTACCTCCTCCTTTCAGGTAGTTGTAGAGAGCAATAAGGTCTCCCCTCAGCCTCCTTTTCTCCAGGCTAAACACCCCCAGCTCCTTAAGCCACTCCTCATAGGATTACTTTCCAGACCCTTCACCAGCTCTGTTGCCCTTCACTGGACTTTCTTGAACTGAGGGGCCCAGAACGGGACACAGGACTCGAGGTGCAGCCTCACGTGCTGGACTGAGCACCCTGTTAACAACACACCACCGGAGTGCAACACAGACGTCTCAGGTGGCTGCTGTCAGGGATGCAGGCTTACCCTCGCCCTGGGCTCCCCTCTTTAGCTCATAAATTGTGCTCCCCACTCTCCAGTGACATATTACGGTGCACATGGTGGAGATACAAGGAAAGCAGGGAATGGAGGTGGCACGTTTCTCTTCTCTTGAGGACAGTGTATGTTTGAAATGCGTCAGGATTTCTGAGTTAAAGCAGCATAATGAGATGTCAGGGAAGGCGAACAGAAGGGGAAAATTAAGGCAACAGATTTCCCTGGGAAACCCTGTTTTCCAGAAAAACCATTGGAGGAAAATGCTATTCTGATTAATGTTAATTTGTCCCTTTTTCTTTTTTTCTTTTTTTTTTTTTTTTATCTCCAAGGCAGGATATAGAGCAGAGCAGAGACCAGGGAAATGGCAGCCCCGTCACCGAGCCAGCGCTGCAGCAGAGCTGATGGAGTATCTAGGTCAGCGTGCAGCAGCAATTCTTTGCAGATGACTGAGATCTACAGAGCCAAAGGCCAGCCCTGGCAGTAGAGCCAAGGGCTCCTTTTGCAACTGAAGGGCGTAAAATCAGCTCCCCCTTTCAAGCAGCGTTCGCAGGAGGGAAGTCCAAGCCGCAGCCTCCATGAGCTGGAACTAACGCCCTTCGGCTCCGCTCACCCGTCCCTGCTCAGCGGAACACAGGCTGGGAAATCAGCGTTGCCATGGGATTCAGATACAAAAGGCCGAAAGATGTGGATGTCAATCAAGTACCCAGATATACAGGGAGGATATTTTCAGCCCTCAAACTAAAACTGATGTGGAAGC